GAGAGAGAGAGAGAGAGACCAGGGCTTGTAAATGATGGGAACTTTTATAGTCCCTGTGGCAAATTTTGTCTGCACAGACCTCATGTTTAAAAGTCTTGTTTACATCCCGCTAAGACACACACACACACACACTAGTACAATATTTGTGAGGACCCTTACTGATTTGATGCATTGCTTATTTGTACTCAACTTACCTTACTGTAACTTAATCCTAACCTTAAATTTAAAATCAATCTTATAGGCCCAGAAAACATGTTATCAATCAGTTCTTGCTAAACTAAATTCTGTCTGTCTGTAGCTGTAGGCCTGGTATTGACTTTTCCCTCTCACCATAAAATGATGTCCAAATTTTCTTTTAGCAATGGGCCGCGTTCCCAGATCTCAGCAATGAATGTGGTTATTATTACCGATAGGAACGATAACAAACCTACAAAAATAAGACATATATATATCCACACCAGAATTATCCTTTAAACTGCAGTTCTTCTAATGGCCACATGCTGCTCCAGGTACACTGTATTGGAATCTATTAAAAAAAGTCTCAAATTCTCTCTGAGAACACAGAGAGAGTGAATATTTTTATATATTATATAGAGTCAGTAGTACATTTCCCAGTTTCTAATGTACATCTTAGTGGCAGATATTGGGGAATAATTTGGGAAATACACTTGTTTGATTTCTTTTCAGCACTTGTGAAGTTAATCTATATCTAATTTTGTAGAAATGTTTAGCCTAGCTTAGCACGAACACTGGAAGTGGGTGGAAACTTATAACTGAAGGTCAAAGATGGGGACTTTTTTCCATTTTTTTTACAAACCAATAACAGCTGTGCTCAGTGATAGCCTGTATCATCTTATAAGTCACTTTCCACTCACTTCCCTCTAATTCTAAACAATATCCATGTGATATAGGGGATTCTTGGATGTGTAGGTGACTGTTAACTAGCTATGAGGGGTTGGGAGGTGTATTTTTCTGCTTTTGGTTGAGGCTAGCCGTTTCCCCTGCTTTCAGTGTTCGTGCAAAGCTAGTCTGAACTTGTCCTGGACTGTGTACTGAACACAGAGATGAAACTCCATCCAGCTCCCAGCAAGACAACAAACTGAGTGCTTACTTCCAACTTATTGAGTGTTGCTTTCTATAATGTCATAGGCAGCAATGGTGGTTTCGCAGTGGCGAGCAGTAAACGCCAACACAAGCTTCCCAACAGTATGATTTTTATGCTAATAGATAAAAATAAAACAACAATAATCTATTCATAATCAATAACTCACATCCTCGGACTCGAACACGTGGCAGATCATCCTGTACAGCCGCCTGTCGTCGTGGGTCATGGTGGTCTGCTCAGCTGTGTGGTCCAGGTTTTCCTGTGCGCTGCGGGAACGCACCATCTTCCCCCGGGCCATCAGCACCACCATGTTACCGATGTCAGCGATGTAGGAGATCGTCCTCAGTGGCAGGTCCATTAAAGACTCCTGGTGATCCAAACACGACAGGGGTTACTCTTAATTAAATCAGATTTGCTATGGGACACTGCTATGACATTATATCTGCTAAATAGAGACATTTTTTAATGAGGTTTGGTGAAGAAATCTAACCTGTCATCTCTCTTTGTGTAAAGACATTCTCCCTCCAGTACTGAAGGATTTAAGTTATTTACTGCTCAGTATGCATATTATTATTGTGATACCTGAGTGTCTGCATTGAGGACTTTGATCCTCTGTGTTGACATGAACAGATCAACCTCAGCAGTGGACGGAGCCTCCCCGTCGGGGCTCTGCACGGCCGGAGAGAAAACAAGAAAAGAAGTGAACAGAAGAAGCAACAGGTTGACGGACAGCAGCGAAGGAGAGCAATGCTGGCGTCACGACTGTCAAGAGCCATCAAATCTAACGGCTGCGAATAACATTTTAATGAAAGCGAAACACAGATGTCTCGTGCAATCTGCATGCGACACAAAATAACGATCCTGGTGGAGCTAACATTAGCATCTGAGCTCAAATTTCTGTCATTTTTAACATGAGACTTGTTCAATCACAAAACGAACGTACCTTTTTCCTGTTCTTCGCCTGCTTCTGAGCAGCCTGTAGTGATCAGAAAGCAGAATAGAGATTCAGAAAGAGACAAATAAAGACAAAAACAGTACAAGAAAATACCTTCTCCGGGGGGTGATCGACAAAAACCCAATCGCCTCATTCACTGTAGACCGTCTTTATTCCAAATGCCAAATTAGGGAACAAAAGGACTTTAAAGGTGTGTGTGTCTGTGTCTGTATGTGTGTGTGTGTGTGGGGGAGGACAGTGATGTTACTGTCTATCACATCTGACAACAGCAGGCTGCCAGAGGCCTTTGCAGCAAACATTATCAAAAGTTTCCTCTTCATCAATGTGACACAAACGACCCCGAAGAAAGACAAGCGACCTCATGTGTTTCTGGCAGACGCCTCATCACAGCTCTAGGTCTGCGGTTCCAAATGTTGGGCTTGTGCTGCCGTTTTGCTCTCTCAGCTGTATCTGTGTAGTTGGTAGGTGTAGTTAACTGGTAATGCCCTTTCTACAGCAGACTTACTAATAATATTACAACTAGTTGACTAATGAATTTGTTGATGAACAGAAAAATTGATAACTATTTTGATAATTGATTATTCGTCAAAGTAATTTTTCAAGCAAAATATTCATTTTCTGATTATCTTTGGGGTTTTGAACGGACAAAATAAGACAAAGATAGTTTCTTTAGGACAGAAGCATCACTCTGAATCATGTTGATGTCTGAACAGATAAGAGCGGACTGTGTCTTCATACAGTTCAGCAGGGTGGTGAGTCTTTTCCTAAATAAATGACCTCACTAGTTGTTATTTTTAGACAGGCAGTCAGCAGCTAGCTCTGTAGTTGTCGAGTGTTAATGATGGACAGCAGGCGGGTAGCGAACAGCAATAGAATCTTCTAGTTAAACTGCAATGAGATGAGTCTGTGGATATAACTGATACAAACTTGTTTAACACTATTGTAGACCAACATACCAGCCTCAAGTTAGCAAATAATCACAATTTAATAGGAACAATTGCATTTGGATATTTTCCACAAATCATTCAGCCCTAAATATAAGAATAAAAAATAAACAGGTTTGCTAATATTGTATTAAAACTTTTTTGATGCATAGAGATTGTACCGTTAAACCTCTATTAATATGAACTGGAGCTTATGGTGATATGGGATGATTAATGCAGTAAATTGATGTCAGTAAAGCTGACACACAGTGCTAATTAGTACTTATTTACTGTGGCCAGGAGAATGTTATTTTGTGGATTCTGTTGTTGAGACCCTCCCAGTCGCTCTCTGAACCCGGAGCAAACATGTCAGAATTTCTCAATTCAACCTCGCTGCTCGCCGGCTCCTCGGGCTATACGTCACATCATCATCACGAGCTCGAGTCTGACTCCTGACCTGTGGTGGACGTCACCGTATATCACTCTGTTAAGAGCTGTCATGTCACCTCCAGTATTTCATTTCATTTTATATTTGGCAGACATCTCGTATAATAATCAGCGTCCGTCTTTCTATGCCGACCTGGACTGTCCCGCTTGTGAGGCTGAAGCTGCAGAGCTCAGTCCTCCTCCTTCAGGAAAGATATTTTTACACACAGACTTTTATGTAATTTGTTTTTACCTATTTTATTCTGTATTTTCCATTATACTGCGGTTTTATGTCTGCATTTTTGTCAGTTTGTGAGCATCAGCTTCTGCAGTATTTGGACATCCAAGATATATTTTATTAAATGTTCATGCATATATGAGTCCTACGAGGACGAGGATTCTCATATTTATGAATCTGAAGAACATTTGTGTTTATCTGGCCTTCATTACTATGTAGTTAGTAGTTAGTATTATTGTTATTATTTACTATTATGTTGTACTCTTGGAAAAAAACACTACATAAGCAAGTAAAATGATCATATTATGTTTTATTTGTATTCTGTATTAGAAATACTCACATGCAATAAATTAATTAGATCAATTATTAATCGGATGCAATACAATCAATCAACAAAGTATACTCCTGAATCTATTCCATCAGATTGGTATTGACCCCGATACCGACACTATTAAACTGACCTTATTAAAGTGATCAGCCAGATGTGACAGATAAACATTAGATATAGTTTTCTGGTCTGTTCTTTTTTTTTCATTTGCTGAGGTGAGCTAATACTGATGCATAAAATTACTGCTGATACTTCATCATCGTCGTCACTTCCTGCTTCACATACTTCACAATAAAAGGATTGTACTATTACGGAAGCGGTACTGCTGAAGCCTGAAATGTTGAAAAAGTTCACTTTAGTTCTAAAACTGGTTTTTAGACATTATCTTAAATATTTGCCGGGAGGTCTTTTAAACAACAACAACAAAGTTATTACACTACAAAATGTTTTTTTAGCATGTTGGTTTTGTTTTGTAAGAGAACAGACCACAGCTCTGTGCTGTTTGTCAGGTCTGTCTGTGTGTTATATCTTGACAAGCTGAATGAGGTTGATGCTTTGTAATGACACAATTTCATCAACCTTCTAAATAATAGAATTAAAATTGGCACAAGCCTAAAAAGGATGTTGGTGAATTAATGTCTCCACTAGTTAATAACGGCTGAGTAGTTACAGCATCCTGTTAACTTAAAAAAGAATGGAAGATTACAGATTTTATTACTCTGTAGCAGCCACTACCTTGAGTCGGATCAGTGCATCCCTACAAGTGAGATGCCAGCTCATTCAGCCTGTCAGACAGCGAGCCTCCACTCTGTCTTTTCCATTCTGAACATGGAAAATGACTTATGTATCTCCCTCATCATTATACAGTCTCTAACCTTCTCCCTCCCTGTGGGTTTCTCAGACCTTAACGGAGGCAATGTCCTGGAACTGTCAGTCAACCATCCAGTAAGCAGAGTCCTCTTCTCGCCTCTGACTTTCTTCGCTCGATCTCCGAAATGGCAACGTCTTACTGCTCATCTCTCCCACAGTTCTATGTTTGAATGCCACGCTGTCACTGGAAGCCATCTTTCCCACTCACTGCCTGACACCTCCCGCCCTCAAGTGACTGCAACTACATTCACACAGGGAGCACAGATCTGTTTCTTGGTGTATCCACTATTAAGATGGGGTATTTCTTCTCATGTGAGCAGCAAAAACAACCCACATGAAATCATATACTGCTATATTTAGTTCAGTCACTGTGATCCAAGTGTTTGACTTCATGAACCGCGACTGGAGCAGAAAACAGGGCTTACAGTCTCCGGGGCTTCGCAGCCTTGATCAGGAGTTTATGTAACATCCAGTGGAGCTGAGGAGAGGAGCCTGTGTGACTGTGGATCAGGAGCAGTGATCTGTGGATGATGCATTGTGCACAACCCGGGGACTTTTCGCCCGCTGGCTGTATTGCCGGCTGAGGGTTTCTGACTTTAAAAGACTCAGATATGAAGCAAACCTCAGTTACATCACAGACGACCAAGTGTGTTAGATAATGTATCTCCTAACCAAGGAGCTAAGGAGGTAAGGATTTGATGACTGTTGTAAGCACTATTATTGAAAATGTAAACCATAAATATATAGGTTATCAAATTTTATGGTTGCGAAATTCAACTTTTTTTTATGGCTATCCCATCATATGGGGATATTCTAATGTGTAATGCATCATTTCAGACACATTTTTACCAATAAGCCAGTATTTATGGGGCTGGCATAAGAAATTCAGACATATTCAATTATATTTCTATGCCAAGATATATAGGTATACAGATCAACATTTCACCTTTGAATTAGAGTTAGTTAAATATAGTCAACAGAGGCAGCAATTGTACCAATCAAATTAAAAATTTTAATCACTTCCTATTATATAGTGCACTGTATTTTTTTTTTATCATATAGGGAATATGTGAACAAGGGAGTCATTTCAGACACCCGCTATGATATGAATAAACTCAACACTCACTCGTACTCTGTTCATGGCTTCCTGGGCCTGCTGCATTCGGGCACTCTTTGTGGGTGTCCTTTCTGACAGCAGGTGGGTGCAGCCCAGGTAGGTTGCTGCAAAGATGATGCCATCAATAAGGTCTTCAGGATCACATGGTCCCGGGACTGCATGAACCAAATGCGCTAGTTAGGCATATGTACACACACGCATATATCTGCAAGCACACAAACTTACTAAATACAGATTTAAAAGTGAAGATATGGCAATCTGGCAAAATGACACCCACCATCTACAATATCAGTACACTGAAATATGAAAACACAGCCTTGAACATAAAATAAAGGAAATTAAACAGATTGTAAATTGTCATGTGTTCAAGTATTTATCTTCATGTCGACAGATGAGAAGGACGCAGATGGAACTGAGTTTGATGTGATTTTCATATGCGAGTCCACTCACCATCCACAAACGTTGGAAACTGAGGAAGAGATCTGCGAATCTGAGAAGGCACAAAAGGGAAAAACTACATCAACATCCTTATTTCTATTCACATACTGCAGGTCTCCTTATTTAAATTCTGCAAGACTTTTACTGCTGTCACCCACTTAGCTGCTGGCAGATAAACCTTGTAAAAGATGCCAGGCTCCCTTTATCATCCATGTTGCCATGGATTCAGTAAGTTTCGCTGCAGTCTGCTACTTGAGACCAGTTTTTTTTTGCCTGTATTTGTTTACATTTTGACTAATTGCCAACATTAAAAGTATGCAGAATAAACTATTAAAGATTCCTCTTTGCAATGTAGCCATGGATGTGCAGACGACTGTCACTAGGGAATATAATATTTATAAAAATAAAATAATTTTTTTTTGACACCACATCAGAATTTTTTTTACCTAAAATCAAACTGCAAAAGAAACCATATCTTTGGCGTTGTGAAACCGTATCTGTCTTATCACTGAGGCCCCTTCTTCCTCATATGGGAAAATGATTCTACATGTTTTGTGTAAATGAGTGACTTGAGTGGGCTGGGGCTAGTTTACATCTCAATTTTACAATTCAAATGTAAATTCAAAATAATCAATTTAACTGTGACTGGATTGTTTGGATACCAAAAAAACTTAAAAAATGTCATGAATCTATACAAAGTTCTGGAGTTATAAGGAGCAGCTTTTTTTTCTATATTTTATAGATGTTTATTTGTGAACTCTGACCTCCTGGACAGACGGCGGCTGTGGAGGCGTCAGTGGCTGAACTTGTGGACGAGGCTGCTGAGCTGGAGGCTGCTGATGCTGTTGTTGATGTTGCATCTGTTGTTGATGCTGATGTTGACGTTGTTGATGCTGATTAGGCGGCACGTGTGCATACGGTTGTGGCTTTGTGTATGTCTGAGGCGGCCTCGCGTTGTCCCTCTGCTGTGGATGGTGGCCTTGGTGGTGGGGATGGTTGTGTTGGGGCTGCTGTTGGTGATAATGCTGAGGAGGAAACGCTCTGGCTGACTCAACTCTCAGCGGACTTACCGGTTCCCGAGCTGGAACTGAAGCGTAGCGGGACGGAGACTCAGAAACTGACTGTGAGGGGGAGTGAGGAGGCAACTGAGAGAAAAAAAGAGAGAAAAAAAAAATAGTAGTATTATTTTAAGTATGTAAAGAATAATCACTCAAAATAAATCACTCCTTTAAAACTGCAGTGCATCTATAGCAAATCACCTTATTCCAACAATACATGATTTAGGATTTGGGCGTTAGTCCAAGTAACAGAAAATGAAATGAGAGCCAGTGATGTAAATCTTCAGTCTGCTTGCGTCCAGAAAGTAATAAAATCTAATTTAATTATTGCAACACTGCAGACATCGGCAATGTCAATCATCAGTACAGCCTTAAAGGTATAGTTCAACATTTTGGGAGAGAAACAGAAATAGCACCACGGGTCATTTAAAAAAATACCTCTAAAATATAGCCACTTAAGTCACTTTTGGCTTTGGTTCATGTTTATGTGTCAAACAAATAAAGACAGCTTTAGAGTTGTTTGTATGCATATTTTTTTACTTTAGACAACTGACAGTATTTCATTTGTGAACAGAGCTTCTGGATCTGTGAAGTAAACGTGCGTTCTCTTTAACGGCCAGTGGGGGACAGCTCCATTAACTGCAAACTAAAAAGTCTGAAAGTATTGAGCCTAATAGAGAAATGACTCTACTTCTCACTTGATTAATTAGTCTTATATATTATTATATATTATTATAAGTCTTCTTCCATACAGCATGATGTTCATTTAGTAAATTCTGGTTCATTTAGAGTAAAACAGACGATAAAGCAGGGTATGCTTTAGGGCGTGGTTACCTTGTGATTGACAAGTCATTCTCAGTGAGTCTGTCCAGCTCAACACATGAACATCAGATCAAACTGTTTGGGATATATATTTTTCAGTAAAAACAACACAGTAAGCATTACTGATGAGTGAAGTCATACTTACATGGTCAGCTGTAGTCTGCAGAGGGTAAACGTCCTCTGTGGGACTGACCTCCTGCCTCATCACCCAAATCGGCTCCACAGGCTTGTCAGGTGTGTAGGGGGAGCGCACTGTCTTAGTCTTCACCTCCTCAATTGCCTCCCTAATGTCTTTAATGGCCAGGCTGATGGCGTCTCCTGAGCCCCTCGAGCCTTCCTCCCCTGGGAAGGCCACAGTGTTGCACTCCTCCTGGGCCTCGCCTGAGCCGCTCTGCATAGACGAAGGGCTCTTGGCCTGGGTTTCTGCTTGTCTAGGTGCCTGCCTGCAACTTTTGGGAACGGGGCTTTGATCGGCGCTGTCCCCCTCACCGTCGGACTGTTCGTCGTAGTGGTGCAGCCGGCAGCCAACTGAGCGGTCCAGAGGGGAGTGATGGGAACCGCGGTCTCTACCCTGCCTTGTGGAATAATGGGAGCCCTTGGTGGGGGAGGACAGAGCCCCTTTTTGTACATTCTCCTGTCTATGGCTGGTAAAGGGCTCTTGGTGGGACTCCTGCTGGGCCTCATTAGGCTCAGTCCTCCAACCAGATTGCCTGCGAGGTTCTCTGTGTAACTCGGGGTAGGAGGTCTTAAGGGGCTCAGGAAAAGAGTTAGGATGGGATTTTGGCTCTGAGTACGACTCGTAAACAGGCTCGGGGTAGGATTTTTGGTGGGACTCTGAATAAAAGTCTGCATAGGTTTTTGGATAAGATTCAGAGCTGGAAGTGAAGTGAGACAGCGAGCACGACTCAGAGCAATCCTCATCGTCGTCCTCATCTTCTTCTTCAGGTAGCAGGTCGGTGTCAGGCAGAGGGCTCAAACTGGTGTCCTCACTGAAGTGGTCAAGCTGGGGGAAGGGTGGAACGTCTGGGGATGAAGGAGGAGTTGGTGACTGGAGGGGCGGTGGGCTGTGGAGAGGTCCGTCCATACTGAGCGAGGCGGCACTCTCCGTGTCGGAGCAGAGATCAGTGATTTCACTTCCCTGAGCTGCAATGTCCTCCGCTACGTCATCCATCACTTCTTCCTGATCCTCCTCCACCCTCTCCACACGGTCCTCAGCTTCGTCATCCACTGTCTGCATGTCGTCATGGCAATCTCCATCATCCTCTGCCTGTTCTTGTTCTTTGTCCTTCTCCTTAACTTCCTCAGGTTCCTCTTCACACTCCCCTTTACAGTCCTGGAGATCTTCCTCCGCCTCAGCAGGAGGAGTGTGTCGGGGGTGCAGTTGCATGCTATGGGTTGCAGGACCAGGTGAGAGGTGGGTGGGGGTGACAACAGCAACGGGGGTTTGGTGAGGAGGTCCCCTGTCCTGCGAATGGTCCATTACAGGATCATCTGACGAGTGTTGCTGTACCTGCACTTCTGCCTGAACTTCTCTCTCATCTGCACCAGGTGAAGAGTCCTTCGTCTCTCCGATTGGTCGTCTCTGTCTGTGACCTCTGAACCTGGGGTTAGGGTCGCCATGACGGCGGTAACGGGCCACAGCAGGGCGGGGTTGCTGGACTGGACGAGGCTCAGTGTCTCGACTCTCTCCTCCATCCGGCTTGGAAGGAGCCACCGCCGGGACCAGACCAGGACTCTGAGCCTGGTTTTGGCCCTGCCCCTGCCCTTGCCCTGACGGAGGCCGCCGGCGATGCCGAGGGGGTCCGCGACCGGTGGGTGGGTGGTGG